TTACAGTGGAAGAAGGAAATCGAGACGTACGAACGAGGTATGTGATTGGCTGAAACTGCAAGATTTTATAAGAAGTCTACAGTGACCATTTGCACGACACTAAAGAAGAAAGAACAAATAAGGGAGCCAAATGCAGCAAAAGGAGTTACGAGAACATCGAAGCCACGGCCACATGTTCTGGAAGATGTAGAAAAGTTGCTTCTGGTTTGGGTAAATGAGAAGCGACCAGCAGGTGACACTGTGAACGAGAACTTTATCTGCGAGAAGGCAAAGGCCTTGTACACCGACCTCGTAAGTAAACTGCCAGGTACATCAACAGAAAACGAAGGCGGCTTCAAAGCAAGCAGGGGATGGTTTGATAACTTGAAGAGAAGTGGCATCCATAGTGTTGTGGGGCACAGAGAGGTTACGAGTTCAGATGCTAAGGCAGCGGAGGTGTTTGCTACCGAGTTCCAGAAGCTCATGGCTTCTGAGTGTTACCTGCCGGAGCAAGTTTTTAACTGTGATGCGACGGGGCTGTTTTGGAAAGAGATACCAAAGAGGATGTACATTACAGAAGAAGACAATGCAGTGCCCGGTCACAGGCCCGTGAAAGACCGTCTCACCCTCTTGTTTTGTGCTAGTGCAAGTGGGGATTTCAAAGTCAAGCCCCGCTCGTGTATCATTCCGAGAATCTACGAGCCTTCAGGAAATGCAAGGTGCAGAAGAGCCAGTTAAATGTCATGTGTGGGTCCAACAGCAAGGCTTGGGACACACATATCTTGCTCATTGAGTGGATCAACGAGGTCTTTGGTCCGGCAGTGAAGAAATAGCTTTTAGAAAAGAATCTACCTGGGAATGCAAGCTGGTACAGCCACTCTGGAAAACAGTAAGTATGGAGGTCCCTCAAAAAACTAAAAATAGAACTACCCTATGACCCAGCAATTGCACTACTAGGCATTTATGCACAGGATACAGGTGTGCTGTTTTGAAGGGACACATGCACCCCCGTGTTTATAGCAGCACTATCGACAATAGCCAAAGTATGGAAAGAGCCCAAATGTCCATCGATGGATGAATGGATAAAGAAGATGTGGTATATATACACAGTGGAGTACTGCTTGGCAATCAAAAAGAATGAAATCTTGGGGCGCCTGGGTGGCTCAGTCGGTTGAGCGTCTGACTTTGGCTCAGGTCATGACCTTGCAGTTCGTGAGTTCGAGCCCCACATTGGGCTCTGTGCTGACAGCTCAGAGCCTGGAGCCTGCTTCGGATTCTGTGCCTCCCTCTCTCAGTACCCCTCCCCCACTCTCTCTTGCTCTCTTTCAAAAATAAATAAACATTAAAAAATTAAAAAAAAAAAAGAATGAAATCTTGCCATTTGCAACCACGTGGATGGAACTGGAGGGTATTAGGCTAAGTGAAATTAATCAGAGAAAGACAAAAATCATATGACTTCCCTCATATGAGGCCTTTAAGAGAAAAAAACAGATGAACATAAGAGAAGGGAAACAAAAATGATATAAAAACAGGGAGGGGGACAAAACATAAGAGACTCTAAATATGGAGAACAAACAGGGTTACTGGAGGGGTCGTGGGGGGGGGATGGTATAAACGGGTAAGGGGCACTAAGGAATCTACTCCTCAAATCATTGTTGCACTATATGCTAACTAATTTGGATGTAAATTTTAAAAAATAAAAAATAAAATTAAAAAAAAAAAAGAAAAGAATCGATCACCCAAAGCCTTGCTGGTTATGGGTAATGCCGCAGCTTAGCCTCCAGGCTTTGAGGACAACTTACTGGAGGAATTTGAGTTCATTAAGGTCAAATTCCTTCCTCCCAACACCACTCCAGTCCTCCAGTCCATGGATCAGCAAGTCATTTCAAACTTTAAAAGGCTTTACACCAAAGCACTATTCAGCGATGCTTCATGTGACTGAAGGAACAAACCTCACCGTCCGAGAGTTTTGGAAAAATCATTTCCACACTGTGAACTGCCTCAAGATCATCAATAAAGCCTGGGATGGGGGCACTGAGAGAACCCTCAGTTCTGCTTGGAGAAACCCGTGGCCTGGGTGCATTCTTGGACCTGACTTAGAGGGGCTTGCTCATGAACAGCAGCCGCCAGTTGTCGATGAAACTGTGTCCTTGGGGAAGACCAGGGGACTGGAGGTGAATGAGGACGACATTCAGGAACTGGCGGAGGAGCATGGCCAGGAGCCGACCACCAACGAACTGATGAATCTGCATCGCGAGCAAGAGCTAGAGGTTATGGGGGAGATCTCGTGTGCAGGGGAGGAGGAGAAAAAGGCCGAGGAATCCCTTGCTTCAAATGAGATCAAAGAGATGTGTAAAATGCGGGAAACAGTGCAAAATTTTGTAGAAAAGCACCACGCGAACAAGGCTGTAGCAGTGCGAGCAACGAATGTTTAACCACAATGCAATGTCACATTTCCGCGAAATCCTCAAAAGGAGGCAGAAGCAAGTGTCATTGGATCGGTTCCTTGTTAAAGGTGCACAAAAAGGATTCCACTGAGCCAACAGATAGGGATTCCATTAGAGTGGAAGGAGTCCTCCCAATAACCCTCCTCTCTCGTTTCCCTCACACCAGCCATGAAGATTTTCAAAGGTGTTAGTTTACTTTTCTTTTTTGTGTGTTTTTTTTTTATTATTTTGTATATTACAGTGTTGTGATCATTTTTATATGAATGCTTTGGGGTTGTGGAACAAATCATCTGAGTTTCCATTATTTCTCACGAGGAAATTTGCTTTGATATACAAGTGTTTTGGATTACAAGCATGTTTCCAGAACGAATTATGTTTGCAAACCAAGCTTATAGTTCTTTTTTAAATGGATGCAGTATCTTTGGTCTTCTCTCAGATACTGGCTGTAAATTGGGTTCTAAGATGTTTCTTCTGGTTCCTGAGTTGCTTCTTTTACAAATGTCAAGTGAACTTTCTTTGCTTCCTACAAGAGTGAGGCTCTGCCCTAATTAGACATGTTCTCAAGTGGTGAGTTTCTCTGACTTCCTGCCCTGGGACAGAGGGGCTTGCCCTGCAGGAAGCCTTCCCTTGTCCCCCTGCCTACGCCCCACTCCCCTTCACTGGCACTGCCCTCCTGTACCATCCTGCACTCTGTAGGAACGCGGAGCTTCTCCCTGGAATGTGGGGCCAGGAGTCTCCTGCACCATCAGACCCTGAAGCTTTGTTTCCCTCTCTGGCTCTTTGTATTGTTTGAAGGCAATTTCAAGAGGAACTTTGCTATCTTAAAACCCTCTGAATTGTGAGCAGAAATGATCCTTTTTTAAACAAGGTGAAGCCCAGTCTGGCTGGCCTGTAGTGTCATCTGGTGGGAAGGATGGACAGGGTCAGATGTGCCCTCCGCACTCCCCATGTCCATGCATGAAAGAGCATGGTCTAGGGTGCCCTCTGTCCAAACTGAAGCCTAACCACCACTTATCATGTGACCTTGGCCAAATTATGGGCCCCCTCTGTCTCCAATTTTTATCGATGAAGAGATAAATATAGACAAATGGAAGAATAGAGTACAGAGAAATTAACCCTCATATACATGGTCAATGAGGTTTGACAAGGGTGCAAAGACCATTAAATGGGGAAGGACAGTCTTGCCAGCAAATGGTGCTAAGGAAAATGGATAGGCACATGCAAAAAAAAAAAAAAAAAAAAAAAAACCCTTACCTAACTCCATACATCTATTTCAAAATCAATCTAAGATTTGAAATAAGCGAGAAAACATTTAGAAGAAAACAGGAGAAAAGCCTCATGACACCGACATTTCTCCAAAGACAAATGAACAGCCAACAGCACATGAAAAGATGCTCCACATCACTGATCGTTAGGGAAATGCAAGTGGAAACCAAGAGGGGATGTCACCTCACACCCATTAGGGTGACTATTAGCAAAAATTAACAACTCTTGGCGAGGACGTGGAGAAACGAGAACCTTGTGCACTACTGGGAAGAATGTGAAAACGGGTAGCTGCTATAAAAAATGGTATGGAATTTCCTCAGACAAGTCCACACAGAATTACCATGTAATCTACCATTCTGGGTACATAACCAGACGTCTGACGAAGAACTGAAAGCAGTGACCTTAAGAGAGAGTTGTGTACCAATGTTCATAATTCAACCACCAAAACGTGGAAACAAGCCTGTCCATCAACACATGAATGGGTGCGCAAAATGTGGGGTTTCCATTCCATTTCCATTAATAACACTAGAATATTATTCAGCCTAGAAAGGGAATTCTGACACCTATGATGTGGATGACCCTCGGAGTTATGATGCTCAGTTAAACAAGCCAAGCACAAAAAGCCAAATACTGCCACTGAGATGAGGTCCCAAGAGGAGTCAAATCCATAGATGTGGAGTAACATGGTGGGTGCCAGGGCTGGGAGTTGGGGTTTAATGGGGACAAAGTTTCAGTTTGGAAAGAGGAGAAGTTCTGGAGACGGATGGGAGTGATGGCTGCACAGCACTGTGAATGTACTTAATGCCACTGAACTGTACTCTTAAAACTGTAACAATGTAAGTTTTGTTGCTATAAATATCTTAACACGTATACACACAAGAGGGAAGAGTCCCCAGCTTTACCCATTTACCCACCAGGTACGTATGGTCCAGCTTTAGAGGCAGACACCTGGAGCCTCTACTCTAGTGGGCATCAGACACTGGCCAATCACATACGCGCACTTACACACACCTACTCACATGTGCAACCGTGAGTAATGCTATGGAGAAGCTGTGAACCCCAGGTTACTCCTGGGCCCACCTGTCGGGTGATGTGAGGGTGAGGGATGAGGGGGGCCCACGCTGCCCAGCAGGACAGACCCCCTGCCTGGGGGACCTGAGGGGTTCAGGTGACAGGAGGATCCACGGGGACTGCTCAGCAACACAGGAGGGAGGGCGCATCTGCTCGCCTGCAGCCCCTCCCCTCCCCAGGAGGGGCCTCAATCCTCACCCACCCTGCGGAGGCCCTCCTCTGTCCCCAGACCCCCACCTGCTTTCCTCCTTGACCAGGCTCCTCTGGACTGACACAAGTGGCTCTCCCAGTTGGCTAGGTTAACTTTAGTGTGACCATAGCCGTGGCCACAAGTCAGGCCTTTCTGACCATTCCGGGATTATTTTCTTCACAAAGAACCCAAGGCTAAAGCTGGCTGAGAATCCGGTGTCTCCAGCAGGTTCTTCGTCTTCCTGTAAGTCAAGTCAAGAGCTGGGTCATCAACACACCATTCAAATGGCAAGAGAGGGAGTATGTGAGAGTAGGTGATCAAGAGCCCAGGGAAGGGGGAACGGGGGAGTGCAGGCTGGGGACAGGGAATAAGGGATGGGAGGTGAGGGAGGAGGGCACATGGGGACAGAGGACAAGTGATCAGGTATTGCGGGCGGCTGTGGCAGCTGACCTGGCCTCACGGAGGCCGTCTTCCCCAGGGGAGCTCTGCCTGCCCATCCCAAACACCCATGTCTAAGTGGACCCAGGGCACAGCTTAAGCAAAGTAGTAAGTGAAAAGCTGCCTAAGTCTTTGTTCACAACTTTCCAGGACAGGTGTTGCTGCCCTCAGACTTTAAGCCCCACTCACTCCAGTTTCTCTGCTGCTTCTGTTAATTCTGTGCTGGCGTGTCCTTGGGCACGCGATGGGTCATGCTGTGGACGAGGCATCCAGGGCAGGCGTCCCTGCCTGGCGTGACTGCACTGCCCCCGTGTGGCCGAATGACGGCTCTCGGAGCTGGGTTTGGCTCCCGGCGCAGGGAACCAGGTGGGTGCAGCGCATCGAAGGGAGTTTCCGCACACCCTGATGGGGCGGCCTGGGCAGGGCTGGGGCCCTCAGGACCATCTGCTCCCTTCAAGTAGCCTGGACTCCCCAGCAGACCCTCCGGCCCCTTAAGCCCCACTGCCTCTAGGCCTTCTGGAAACACAGCCACATACCCACCACCACCCCCAACGCACCAAAGCCTTGACTGGCCACCCAAGTCCCCGGTGACCACCACCTCCCAAACTGCCCACTCCTCAATGTGCCTCCGCTGACCAAACCCTTGCCTCCCACTGGGAGGGCTGGGGCCACATCTGTTTCTGTACCACACACCTGACTGAGTCCATCGGGCCAAACACCCGAGAGCATCTATAGCACACACCTGAGAGCGTCTGTACCGCAGACGAGTGCTTCTGTACCACGCACCTGAATTTGCCTGTATCGCACCTGAGTACACCTGCGCCAAACGCGATATCCGCACCATACCTGAGTAGCACACACCTGTGCATCTGTACCATGCACTGTTTGTCTTCCCCACACTATTTGCATCAGCGCAACAGCCCTTCCTTGCACCGATGGAAGAGGAGACCCTTACCCATCCTCAATGAGACCTTTTCTTTGCAAAATTCTGCATACCTTTCTTTCCCTTCCCTGAATCGGGGGTACAGAACTCCTGACACATTTACAGTTCCCTCTGTGGCGGAGAACACAGTGAGAGAACAGGCCTCTCGGGGTCTGCTGTCTGGCCTCCGTGAAGCTGAAATACCACCTGTGTACTGGGGGCAGGTGCCTCACCAAGGCCAGATCGAGGGGGGTCCAGGTGCAGGGTGACGTGGGTGGACAGGCAAAGCTAACATGTGGAGCACAGGGGCTCCCATGTGCACAGGACAGAGCACAGTGAGGCTGAGAGACAGCCACACGGGCCGCTCTCACTCCAAGCCTGGGGTCTTTGAAGGCCCGGGGCAAGGAAGAAATAAGGCACGTCTTGGGACCATGGTGTGGGGAGGGGAGGTGGGGAGGGGAGGCAGGCAGGCAGGCAGCAGAGGTTACCCCGTGGCTGGGGAGTGAGGGCATAGGGTTTATCAGCTGGGAGACACGGAGTCCAAGATGTCTACGAGAACCCAGAGAGAGAACACCTGGATGTGTGGGCCATGGGTCTGAAAGCCTCTTGGAGTCAGGAGTTTGGGGTCAGAGGACTGAGCGGACTGAAACAGAACCTGGGGTCGTGTGCTGGTGCTGCACCATGAGCATGTTGAGGTCCGGAGAGGCACCCAACATGGAAAGTGGTAGAAATCCCAAAGACCCTGCTACCCACCCTGAGCTCACAAGGCCAGTCTATGAGCCCCAGAGATTCTTTAGCCCAACCCCACATATTGTGGTCAGTGGTGTTCTGACCTCTGCAATCTGGTGCCACAGAAAAACCCAAAAAGGGCCCCCTCTCAACCAACACGAGCCCCAACATACCCCTGTGGGACACCAACTTCTGATGTCCCAGACCCATTTATAAATCACTACTGCCCATCTGAATGTCTTCATAACCCCCACCCCAAATTCTGGCTTGGGGCAGCACACTTAGAGGGAAGGGGCAGAAAGCAGGCTCCGAGGACTCTGAAAGGCGCAGGATGAGGGCCCCCCCGGGAATGGCCGTGTGCCGACAGCAGGTGACATGGGCGACCATCCCAGCTGTCTGCACCCCGCTTTCATGTTCAAAAACCACAGTTAACAGATCCTCGCAGGGCAGGACTGAATCACTGTAAGTGACAGAAACCCACATGCTTCCAGACCAAATTTGGATTTCTACGTCCAAAGAAATTTTATGAAATTTAAACTAACTCCTGTCACAGAGGACAGTGTCTCCTTGGATTCCGTTAGCAGAGTCAGGTGGACGCCCCAGAAAGGGTCCTGGACCTCTGGGAGCTCCCACGTGAGTATATCTGAGCCGTCTGGGACCGGGTGCGCATTTGCTTTATTGCTTACGTTGCATATTCAAACAAATACAATAAACCCTGTTTTAAAAATGTAAGGCACATAAAAGCCTCTGTGCAAGTTCTCTATTATTTTTAAATTCTTATTGGCTAATAAAAGTACTTCCACTATAGAACTGGAGCTATCTAGAAATGCACATGATGAATTTTTTGCATGCAAGACACTGAAACATTATTATATCTTACCTCATGGCACAATTGAATAGTCTCAAATCAAATGTTTGTATGTGAGTTATAACTATTGTTACATTTGCAAAAATCTTAATCAGCTTATCCACATATGTACAGTCAGGTCCCCAAATGTTAATTATATAAAATCTAAAGAAAAAACAGTATCTAGCTGCATTTGTGTTCCGTTTCTTTAAAGGGTGATTTGGCATTTTTAGTCTTCCTTCTGTAAGTCATGCTGTTATTTGCACAGGCCAGAGTCATACGATGCTGAAGACCATGGACAGATACTGTTCATATGACACCTGAATCCAGCCGTCCTGATCCGTATCGTAACGCCTGAATATATCTGTCAACCTCTGGGGAAGAAACAACAGTCATTTAGATCTTGATATTTTTTTAACAGAAGGAACAAAATGTTATTTGGTAAAAAACAAAACAAAACAAAAAATTTAGGAACCCAAATTAATCCATGTCTCCAGACGACCCCAACTCTGACGGAGACCAGGGCAGCGAGGCATGGGTGGGTAACCCTGACCACCCTCTCAGGCTGTCCACCGTGGGGGATGCCGAGGTCAGGTGGGAGGGTGGATACAGGAAGGTGGTTAAGAGATCAAGGGGTGGGTTGCAGGCTATACACAACAGCCCTGGGTCCAGGCCTTGGTTCCCCAAGTGGGCCAGTGGTAAACCTGGGTCCTCCCCCCCTGCTCTATGACCAACCTAGTGGGGGTTACTCAAATGTTTACCTCGGCTCTGGTCACTTGCCATTCAGGACACAGGGAAACCGGCCCTGACTTGAGCCCCTCGCTTACAACCTGCTCCCAACAGATGAAGGAAGCCTCAGCCACAGAGCACAGAAGGTAGGTCTCCCTGTACCAGCCTGAGGGTCCCTTAGTCTGTGCACAAGCCTGACTCCCCCACAGCAGGTCAGGAGCAGAGGGGAGACCCCTGCCCCCCAAAGCAGAGACAATTAGAGGAGTGCTGTTCCAGATGACAGCTGGACAACCACAAAAGGCCTAAGGAATTGTAAATGACAAAAGGAAGCAGGCATAGTACAATTCCTCAGGACGAGAAAAGGAAACAACACACGGGTTCGTCACGAGAGCAGGCTGGAGCCCGGCCCTCGGGTGCTGCGGCAGATTAAATGGCTGACAATAACAGGGGCTCCTGACACAGTTGACTGTCCACTCGGGTGGTGGCCAGGAGCATCTGAACACGCGTGAGACGCTAATGTGAAACCAACTCCAATAACACCAGCAGCAGTTAATCCCGGCCTGAAGAACAACTGGAAATCTTTCTTTATACTTTAATTGTATTTTCCCAAGATTTCTACAAATTTTCATGTTCTTTTGTAAAACTAATTTTCTAAAAGCCTTTTTCTTTCTGGAAAAAGGCAGATGGAAGACATTTTTCAGGACTTTTTTCTTGTAGCTTGCCCACCTCTGCCCCATGTTTGAGGTCATGTGGGAAGTGTGGGTGGGAGCAGAAGTCCAGGTCAGCATGGGGCCCAGAGGCAGGGGCTGCAGGAGAGCCCGGCTGGCCTGTCCTCAGCCCACAGGTGTATGGAGGCGCTGGGCGAGCTCCCTGTGGGACTCAGATCACATTACCCCAGCTACTGAAACCCTACACGAAATGACCTTTGCTCAAGAAGAAATATAAGGATCAGATGTTTACTTATGGGACAGAACCTCAAATGAAAAGTCTAACCCTAGAGCAATTCAGATGCAGAGAATAAGGAGATTTTTACATTACACCTTTTTAAGTGTCCAGACAACACTGCAAAAGAAGTGTAACCCAGCCTCACCAAATCCTGAGGCAGAGATGGGGTAAGGCTCTCCCCATTTCAGAGAGCCACAGCTCAAATGTCAGCAGACCCAGCTCTCCAACAAGGTCCTGAACAGGGATGGGGCTTTTCCCTGCCTCATCGGCAAGGAAGTCACGGAGTGCTGCACTTAGCATGCCACAGAAACTTCACTTTTACTGATCTAGAATTCTAATGGGAAAAAAAACCCAGAGAATGTTTCCCAAAATTCCAAATTATATTTAAAAACCTCACAGTGTTGACATTTCTCAGCGGCCTCTAGAGCTGATATGACATAACCCGACCGGAATTCAAACTACAAGGATCAGGGGTGCCTGGGTGGCTCAGTCGGTTAAGCGTCAGACTTTGGCTCAGGTCATGATGTCACGGTTTGCGGGTTGGAGCCCAGCATCCAGTTCTGTGCTGACAGCTCGGAGCCTGGATCCTGCTTTGGATTCCTTGTCTCTCTCTCTCTCACTCTCTCTGCCCCTCCCCTGATGGCGCTCTGTCTTGTCTCTCAAAAATAAATAAGAATGTTAAAATTAAAAAAAAAAATTTATAAGCTACCAGGACTCATTGTCTAGTTGCAAGTCCTACTGAAATATGTACAGATAAAACAGTTGCTTTCCATGGCCCAAATCTGCTTCAGAGTAAGGGGTGGGGGGAGTGTTACAGTTATGCAGGTATGACATCAAGCTGTCCATCAGCTGCTAACTGTTGAGTCTGAGTGAGGGGCACATGGGTTCATCACACTGTTGTCTCTGTTACTTTTTTTTCATTTGTCACAATAAAAACTTTAAAAGCTATCTATGGGTTTATCAGTTCACTGCAGTTTTTTAAAAAATTTTAATGTTTGTTTGTTTATTTTGAGAGAGAGAAAAAGAGCACAGGCACAAGTGAGCAAGGGGCAGAGAGGGAGGGAGAGAAGCAGGGCTCACGTGAAGCCGGACTGGAACCCATGAACTGTGAGATCATGACCTGAGCCGGAGTCAGATGCTTAACCGACTGAGCCACCCAGGTGCCCCTAATGTTTGCTTATTTTTGTGAGAAAGAGGGAGACAGAGGATCTGAAGTGGGCTCTGCATTGACAGCAGAGAGCCCAATGTGAGGCTCGAATTCACGAGCCGTGAGATCATGACCTGAGCCGGAGTCAGATGCTTCCCGACTGAGCCAGCCAGGCATCCCTGGTCCACTGCATTTCTAAGCCTCAATCTACGTAACCTGGATCCTCACCTAGAGACAGGAGCAGCGGGGACTGTGTGGGCACAGCAGGGCAGACTCGGGCACTCCTGCCCTCGGTCTCTGGAAAGGGTCCTCAACCTCCGCACCAGTTTCTCTCCCAGCTCAAGAAGCAAGGCTACAGGAGGGAAACACCAAGCACGGGGTGAGTGGGTTCCACGGGCTCCACCAGATGCTGGCTGGCAGTGGCCGCAACATGGGAACAAGGCCCGTGTGCTCAGGAGCTGGCTCTTGCCCCTGCAGCTGACCTCACTCAAAAAGGGAGGGCACAGTAAAGATCAAAATGGAAAATTTATCCTCTTCCTCAGAATGAAAACACAACAAAAGTACCAGAGAACACGTAAATAACCCACTGGATTTGGAAGACATGACCTCATCCGAATGGACTGCTGATACAGCTGAGCCCCCCCCCCCAAAAAAATGTGGGGGTTGGGGGCAACAGGCCCTGGAGCAGTCGAAATCCACATGGAACTCTGATGCCCCAAAACGTTAACTACCAATAGCCTGCTGCTGACCAGACGCCTTACCAATAACAGCCAATTCACACATACCTTGCGTACGTATTGTGTAAACTAAGCTAGGAAAAGAAAAAGTGATTAGGAAAACCATAAGGAAAATACATTTACAGCCCTACACCGTATTTATCAAAAACAGTCTGCAAACGAATGGACCTGCACAGGGTCTCCACAGGGACACAGTGCACTACTGGGCCATACCGCCACCTAACAGAATAACTGCTTCTCCACAGACAAGACAAACTTTTATAAGCTCCAGAAACTGATCTTACTCCATTAAACTGCAAATTCCAGGGGCGCCTGGGTGGCTCAGTTGGTTGAGCACCGATTTCGGCTCAGGTCATGATCTTGCGGTCCGTGAGTTCGAGTCCCGCATCGGGCCCCTGTGCTGACAGCTCAGAGCCCGGAGCCTGTTTCAGATTCTGTGTCTCCCTCTCTCTGACCCTCCCCCGTTCATGCTCTGTCTCTCTCTGTCTCAAAAATAAATAAACGTTAAAAAAAAAAAAAAAATTAAACTGCAAATTCCAGAATGCAGGTACTTCCCTTTACCTCTGCTTTCACAGACAGTCCCGTCCTGCTCCACAGCTCAGCTCACTGTGAGCCTCCACGGAGCCCCAATTACCTGCAAGACGATGCAGCCCTGGATGAAGTCATCAAACGCGATCTGCCCCCGCCCTTGTCTGTCAAACTTGCGAATGAGGATGTCGTGAAACTGGTCAGAGAGCCGGTACCCTTGAAGAGAAAACAGAGAGTGAAGAGAGGGCCAGGAGAGCAGACATTCCCGTCAACACCCACATTCTCCTTCCAAAAGGCCCCACAGCCTCTTACAGCAGCTGATAACAAATGGCCGAGGCTGGGGGTGGAAACACAAGGCGCAAATGCATTCACATGCACTCTAGGAACGAAGCCATCATTCTGCGATCCCTCCCACGACTCCCCATTTGCAGTCCTGTGAGTGGCTGACCTGAGGACCACCGCTTCTTCCTGGAAGGGTGAGCGTAACCCGGAGGCCAGAGCTGTCAGGCACAGCAGGTCATTTACGTGCGCTCACTAGTTCCCATCAAGTATACTCACCCTACTGTGCTGTACCCCAAAAATCACCCTGCAGGGCGGCCAAAGCTTCATTCCCTGAATACAGTGAAGTTATCATTTTACAAATGGTAAGTTCCATTTTAGATTTGAAAGATAAAACATCACTGAAAGCTTCCAAATAAACAAAATGTAAACTTAGGGAAGCAGCAGATTAACTGATAGGTACTCCTATTCATCAAGTAGCACAGACATTAGGCAGTAAAAGATTATATGGAGTAAGGCAGCCTCACAAGGTTCATAACAACTTGAGGGCCATCAGATGTTATGACGAAGAGTCACTGATTCCACCTCCAATTTACTGAATAGGTCTTGAAGAGGTCACCAGCAGGGAGGTGGTTTTAAAGACAGAGAGACACAACGGCCATGTGCCTGTGGGATACCCCTCGGGGCCGCTCTAAATGAAGACATCTACTTCCTTCCCTACTAATCCCACTACCTGTGTGCCTCTGGTGTCCTTACTTATTCAGGAGAGAAGATCCAGGGGCCAAAATACTTTTACTGGTTTCGGTCCTGTTGGAATCTTTGCGAGGATATATATACACCTATTATCTGAGTGAATTTCACAGTTAATTACCTGCAAAAGCACTTACTTTTCTCAAAATAATTCAAACATGCACACACATGACAGCACCCTTCCAGAGTGGTCAGCATACTCTATGCGTCTGTGACTTAAATCCAGGGCCCCCCTTCCCTGCCAGTTGATTAGAAAACAGGACCCATGACTTAGAAAACAGAGACAGCAGGTACTGAATGGGAACCACTCCCCCTGACCCCTACGAGTCTCCTCTCTTCACACTTGGCACCTGTGCCTTTGGGCAATAAGAGGTCCAAGCTAGTGAGGGTTGAGCTCATCCAGGGTGTGGACAGCAGATGACGGCCACTTCGGTGCCGCTCTCCGGCCTAGTCACAAACATACAAGCTGGATCTCCACAATCTGTACAGAAAATGGAAGCAACTTCTATCATCCCTGGGACTAACTTCCAATTTCCCTGCTCTTCAATAGTATTGCAGTGAGAACAAAACCAAAGGAAGTCAGACCAGAAAAACGGATGATGAACAAAGAAACTATAAAAAGGATGTTTCTATAAGAGGCAAAATTTGGGAGCAGACTGTTCCTAAAGAATTTCCTTCAGTGAAAACCCACACAGTGATAACCCCACCCTCATAAATTAAGAGGAGGTGCCCTGTGGAAATGCAAATCAGAACCATGAGATGACCTCACACCTGTTAGAATGGCTGGTATCAAAAAGACTGGAAACAAGAGGTGTTGGCAAGGATGTGGAGAAAGGGGAACCCTCCTGCACCTGTTGCTGGGAATGCAAACTGGTGCGGCTGCTCTAGAAGACAGTATGGAGGTTCCTCACAAAGTGAAAAATAGAACTATCCTATGATTCAACAATTCCACTACTGGGTATCTACCCAAAGGAAATGAAAACACTAATTCAAAAATATATAAACGTGCCTGTGTTTATTACAGCATTATTTACAGTAGCCAGGATATGGAAGTAGCCTGTGGTCATCGAAAGATGGATAAAGATGTGGTGTGTGCACACGTGCGTGCGCGTGCACACACACACACACAAATATTATGCGGCCATGAAAAAGGATGGGACCTTGCCATGTGTCACAGTATGGATGGACCTAGAGGGTATCACACTCAGAGAAATAAGGCAGAGAAAAACAAACACCAAATGATTTCACTTATATGTGGAATCTAAAAATAAAACAAATGAGCAAACAAAACAGAAACAGACTCATAACTACAGAGAACTGGTAGTGGCCAAAGAGGAGGAGGTGAGGGTGGGTGGGTGACATAGGTGAAGGGGATTAAAAAGCACAAACTTCAGATTATAAAATAAGTGAGTCAGGAAATGAAAAGTATAACATAGGGAACATAGTCAATTATACTGTCAGAACACTGCATGGTGACTCAGATCGTGTAATGTACAGTGTTGTCGAATCTCTATGTTGTACACATGAAACTAACACGACATTGTCAACTATACTTAAATAAAATGAAAAAAAAAAAAAAAGGGTGCTCTCCATGTGCAGCCCCAGCCTGTGACCCTGGTCAGGACTGGGCCCTTTCAGACCTGACACACTGACCACAGGGCCACACCCTGACCTTAAGAGAATGAAGTTCTCTCCTTAGAACTAACAGGCGCAGGAGGGGTGAGACATCAGAGCTACCCTGAAGACCCCACATCACCTATTCTCAGCAGCCTGGCATGACAGCATACCTTCAGTAACTACTCTCCAGGGGACAGAGACTGCAGCAAGGGACAGACCCATGTTTACAACCAGCCAATGGCATGAAAAAGGGGTGGGGGCTGCCTGTGGACCTGCTGGGACCCTAACTCACACAAATGGACGGTTAACCTCTAAGGTGGGTCAATGGTGCGGATTTCGTGGACGTAGTGCACACGCCCCAGGGAAACGCTGCTGAATGAAGTGTGCTGGGACCACGGTGCACAGGCCCCGTCAGCCTTGGCACACAACAGGGGACAGAGCAAATGCAGCATGAAAATGGTAGCGGCTGGGATGGGTGACGACTGAATGGAGGGTCCTGACACTTGATAACTTTCATAACCTTTTCACCAAAAAACGCTGGGCGGAGGGAGAGGAAGCAGCCCCGTGCCCGCTGCCCTGCCCACAGGGGAGGACCGCCCTGCACGTGAGCAGACTCCCACTGTGGAGCAGTCAGCTCCCCGCTAGCAGGAGTGTGAGGGCCATGCCCCACACACCTCTTTATTTCCAGGTCTCTGTACCTGGCGCATAGCACATACTAGAAATGGGTTTACAAAAGGGATGTGTGAGCCATCATACCCAGCGTGGGTCCTGTGAGGGTGACCCAGTGCCACCAGGACCAGCCTGAGACATCAAGTGGAGCTGACAGAGGTCGGAGGACGCTGTGGGGCTTGCCCCCCACCCCCAGACTCCCTCACACACATGCAGAGCTGAAATGCAGCCCCCCTGTTTGAGCAGGGCAAGAGAGCTGTCCTTAGGAGTCAAAACTGAACAGACTTTGCTTCAGTTACTACAGAAAATCTTCCAAAGTGATGACTATGTGAAAAGGAGAACAATGTTCCTTTTCATAGAAGGCATGGATCCAGAGCAGGCTCTCAGAAATCAAGAACCAACTACAGGGAGAAGCTTTTAGAATAACTACAATGCACCACAGAATACTTTTCTCCAGAAAGCGCTCAGAAGTCAGGAAGGAGCCCGGCCCTGCCCAGACCAAGAGGGCCTGCTGGCTCCTTACCACAAGGAAGTGCCACATGACCTCTGTGACCATGCAGCCATGGCTGCAGATGCCAGGGCCTGATGGGCACTCGGAGGTCAGAGAGGCCAGTGGCACGGCCCACCCTAGCATTCCCACTGTGAGCTCCAAGGACCCATTGGACACCGGCACTGAGTAAAAAGAGGGCTCTGGGCCTGACAACTTTAGAAAATGCCATGTTCCCTGACACCTAAAGTCACTTGTCTGGAAGTAATTAACAGGATGCAGGTTCCTCCCAAGCTGTCCTCAGCCCAGCCGGGCCTCCAGCTACCTGCAGCCCCAGGACCACCATCTGTGGACAGCTGACAGCCAGCCACCCCTCCCAGATCTTCCATTCGGCCTGACCTTCTCCCCAACCTATAGGTAGAGCAAAGTCAGAAGCATTCCCAGTCCCAATGCAGAGAACCTGAGGTCAAGTCCTGCCCTAACCCTGACCCACACCCAGTGAGCTGAGAACACAAACGTGCTATGGATTCCCAGGGCCTCTAACTGAATACCACCAGAATTCATAAGGCAACAAACTAAGAGAAAGAGAAAGACAGCCATGAAGTATGTGCCCAAAGGAAAAATGGGGGAAGGACAGAAGTTAATAACACATTAACATAAGAACTAAAAATGTCCTTTGTATTATTAAAACTCAAAATACCTAGAAGTACGTTATACGTTATGACAGTATATTATTATAACTTTAACTTAAAAAAATTTTTTTTAACACTTATTTATTTTTGAGAGACAGAGAGAGGCAGAGCATAGGGGGGGAGGGAGGGAGGGAGGGAGGGGGAGGGAGGGAGGGGGAGAGAGAGAGAGAGAGAGACAAAATCTGAAGCAGGCTCCAGGCTCTGAGCTGTTAGCACAGAGCCCGACGCTGGGCTCGAACCCACGAACCGCGAGACCATGACCTGAGCTGAAGTTGGACACTCAACCGACTGAGCCACCCAGGCAACCCATAACAGTATGTTATTAAAAAAAAAAAAAAATAGTACATTATAAACAAACTTGCCTTATTTTTTTTCTAGCTGGCATTTATAAGCAGACTTTTAAGCAAAATATAGAAGGGGTTTTATAACAGGGGCCCAGTGAACACAGGGCTGAGTGAGACCATCCCAAACACACCAGACTCTGGGTGAGACTCCCACAAGCCCCGGACAAATACCCCATGTCTGCATAGCCCACACACCAGAAATCCCACCTTCCTCTCAGACCCACACCCCCGCATCAGAGGGCCCACTGACCCACTCTGGAAGGCCGTGTGAACACTCCCAGCAGCACAGCACACTTGAGCCTGCACGCACTTGAGAACGGGCACTTGCATGCCTGCCGACACTGTGTCTGCAGCTTACAGAATCATCTCTGACGAGTGTCTGGATCATCCTGCCACGTGTTGTGATATATCAAGAAATATGAGCTGCTCGACATTTTCTTTTCACTTATTCACGTTAAACTGTTTCCAAAGCTGCCTCATTCTCAATGTGAGTGAGACATCACTACATTTCACAAGTGAGAAATGATTGCATAGCCCTTATCTCATTTTGGATGCGAAAAAAACCCACATGAAAGTCTTCAGGTCAAATATAAGCCTTCATGATATAAAAAGTATCAAAGTATAAATCTGTATGCCAAAAAAAGTCATAGTTAAAAAAATCAGTAAAATGAACCAAGTAAAAAAACATTAATGGCACCTAGGTTCCAAAATGAAACATGCTATACAATCAAGATAAGTGAATTACCAAAACCTGAGAGGGCTTGCTTGAGCTCGTTCTTGTCAATCATCCCAGAGTTGTCCCTGTCATAGGTGCGGAAGACGTTCTGCCAGTCTGTGATGTACTTCCAGACGCCAGTGAACTCGCTGAAGTTCACGCCAGCCTTGTTCTCTCGGTCGAACATAGCTGAGACAGAAAGGAACGTGAGTGGTGTGCAGCAGCTGGCATCTCGTCGGTCATCAGCAAGCAGCTCGACCACAGCACAGCCACAGCCACAGCCACAGCCACACCCGCCTCGGGGTCAGGCCGGTGCTCGGCCAGCAGGTGCCCACGGCCAAGAAATGCTCACTCGTTGACTGGGAGGGCCAGACCACCTCTGCCGGCTGGCTCTCCAGCCACAGCCCTTAGCCACGTTAGACAGACGTGAGGCACACGGTAAAGAGGGAAGGGCAAGAAAACACGGGCAGAGCCACAGCAGAAATAACGCTTCACAGCGAAGCAGGCTACAAAGACACAGCACCTGGTGGATACTCTCACTTTGCCAGGAAGAAAGCAAAGTGCAGACTGAAGGAGCCCCTCCACTCTCTCAGTTCCCAGAACTGGGCCCAACTCCGGGCACCGCCACTTCCATTCTCCCAGAGGACCTACGCCCACCAGCGCAGGCCCACCCCAGTGACAAGACGACTCTATCAGCTTTAGGTGTTTTCTCTTAGGAAGACTTGCTTTTCATTAAAAAAACAAACAAAAAAAAAAAACCAGCCTAATTCCGGGTCCAAATATGAAAGAACCTACAACTACATCTCCATGTAATTGCAAAATGGCTAAAAATATATATATGAACTCAGTCTGAACTACTGCTGAGAAAATGACAAATCATTTGGTTTCTTTTCAGGAAGGGACGCTAATGGAAGATTGAAACATGAGCGCTCTTGGCTGCTCAGAAGTACACTATAATTCAGTGAAAGCGCACAGAATGAAAAATCAGGTCAAAAACTGAGTATCGGGTGTTTCCGCCAGTCAACAATCGTGCCAGATACGGACGGTGTGTGAAGCGCGCCGGTCCTGTGGGTACTTGAACTCTTCAGAACCGGGATGTGAAAGGACACGTCAGACAATGAGCTCAGTGCTCAGCCGGGAGTGCAGGATGAAGCAGGACAGGTGCCTGCCTGCACAGGCGGGACAACGGCACCTTTACTTACATATGATTGACCTGACAGTCACTGGATTAAATGGAGTCCACGTGCCTGAAAATAAGCGACAGGAATGACAGTCAGACGCCAGCAAGCTCTAGGCTTCGAATCTGTACCATCTGAACCTAACAAAAGTAACTTGGGGGTCACGGGAAGACCCTGGCACCACACTTCTCGGCAGGGACACCGCCCCCAGGGGACATTTCTGGTTGCCATGACCACGGGGGGCTGTAAGCACGTCACGGTTGGGGTCCCATCCCACACTGTGCAGGAGTCCCTTGGCCCCAACAGACGCACATTCCAAGCTGTTTATAATGACGTGAAGCTGGGTACTTTACTGTGTAAACAAGATACGGCTTTAGAGTATTTTAATATACGCTCAGTTTTCCAGGCGTTCAGCCACCAGGTAAGTTGAGAGGTATACTGAAAAACATACCATACAACCATGCCTTAAAGTCTTCTCCTAAGATTGCACGTTATTTTCCTTGCGAGTGTGAAAAAGCAGACTATGGCACCCTAGGATCCACTTCCATATAGTAATGGGGATATTACCAAATATTTGTCATGAAGAGACTGCTGAATCTGACAGAACCGTTTATCAACTGATAATGAAATGTTCACTAGATACCTTTACGCCCCAAAATCTGTTTTCAGAGTGGTTTATACCATTACCAATTTTTACACTAACTAAAAACAAGGAAAAAAAGTGTTTTTAATGTGGAGGGAAAGCAGGGCCTCTCCCCACACCCCACTTGTATGGAAACACCTCATATTTCCCTCTCTGTATAAAACTCCGTGTTTCTCACAGAGACCCACCCCCTGACCTCACATCGTGACCTTTCGCTGGGAACTATGGTTCCAAAGGGAACCGTCCTCCACGCTGGGCTTTCCCGCTGCGGCGCCCAAAGGCTGTGCCTGCCCACCTCAGGGCTCACGCACGCGCCTCTCCAGACCCGGGGTGTGCCTCCCAACACACGCACGTCCTTCACCTTCACCTCTCCTTTAAGCCACAGGAAAAACGCGTCCTCAGGAAAGCCCTCCCTGAGCGCCCCACGTCCCCCCAGCCCCTAAGCTAAATCTGTCAGCTCTATCAGCGCAGGTTCGAGCTTCCCCTTTGGGACAAGCGCCACCGTAACTACTCGGTGAAGGCTGCTCTTCCCCTGAAGGCAGGGGCACACCTGTCCCTGTGCCTGGCACATCAGGGTTGGATAAGCATCTTCTGCAGGCTTCACAGACGTTCGTGGGGTGGGCAGAGCGGGCAGAAGACTGTATACGAAGCTATTAGGGCACGTTATTGAAAACCCATATGATAAAACTATGTTACAGAGAACGCAACAGAAAAGAAAGTTCTAAAGACAGAGAGTGTCACTTCCTCACCTCATTTGTTTTTCCCTCCCTCCCAGCTAGCTGCTGCAGGCAGCGACCTGCTATTTCCACAGGAGACAGCCCACCACGGACTAGAAGCCCAGGGAACCTAATGCACCTACTGAAGCCTTTTCCTGATTCACTTTTCCTTTGTCTTCCCTTCACCTCTGCTACAGGCCGATGTGCTCTCAATCTGTGAAGGTGACGGCAGCCCCCGCAGGCTATCCTGACTGTGAGCAGAAGCCTCACGAGCCATCTCGCAAATGACTCGGCCAAACAAGTTTGAAACAAAAGCAACACAAGTGCGACAGTTGAGTCGTGTGCAAACGTGAGCACCTGTTGTGGTGAAAGCCAGGTGCCACCTGGAAAGGCACACGTGGGGTGCCCAGGGAAGGCGCATCCCTGAGGTGGCCCATGGGGACTGGCAGCCATGCTGGAGGATTCTGCGGACGGCACGGGTCCCAGGCTCCGGAGAGCAACAGGTCACCATGCGCTGAGTCGAGGACGGAGACCCACAGGTTTCCTGCGGGGCTACTGCGCAAGGGGAAGGCGGAGGAGGCAACCTCTTGGTACCCCTGCTCATCTTTCTTCTTACCCAAACGGGGCCCGACTCTGCACAGAATCCAAGGGGTAACGACAGCCAACAGGTCTTGCGGCCTGGTTCTCAGACTAAACATAAAAAGCTCAGTAACCCACAATGAAGCTGCAACACTGCAACATGCACACATTTAATATCTCAGCTGTGTTAAACACTAAATGCACCTGAGCGTCAGCCTGAAACTCTTAAGTGGTTTCTAAAACAGTTTTCTGTAAGAAAATACAACGCAAATAATCAATTTAACACACTCACTAAAAACAGGGGGTACATTATAAAGGTAGACTTTTTTCACAAGCCCTACAACTCCATAACCCTCCAGCCCAGGTTTCAGGGCCACCTACAATTTCAAACACTCCCATCTGCTTCTCCCAGACAGCAGCATGTTTGAACGTTAGAACCGGTCATCTTGCAAAAGCTTGCCTGTCGGATTTTTACCTAGATTTCTAGGTGTCCTGCCTCAATTTCATCTTAAAGAACTAAAGAATACAGAAACGTGATTTCCCACATAAATTTAATACACTTTTGTCACCTATAATTTGGGAGCAGGGCTGAAGCCTTAAGAAGCCACCCTAAGCAAATGACAATGGCCCAAAGAACCATCCATGGTTGTAGAGATAGCCCCCGTCAGGACGCCTTACCATTTCTCCACTTAACTCCCAAGCACACAAATTCTGTCAAGAACCTGCATCTGCCTCCATTCTCCAAGGGGGAGAAAACCCATTCTGCTCTGGTAATATATTGTCTTTTCACTCTCTCCAAAGAGTTTTCTTTATTGAAATTACGTCCTGTTAACCACAAGCTTAAACTTTGGCTTTAGTGAGTGGTTGGGGTTAGGAGTTCACAACATCCAGCATTTGCACAATCGAGACACTTAACTACTTGAAATCTCTAGAGGCAACAACAGCAGCAGAAGGAGACTTTTCTACATCATCACTGGTGATCTCTTTCCACTTTACTGCATCAGACCTAGAACTCCCAGCCTTCCTGGCCTTTTCTGCCAGAGAGGAGCTACAGATGAGGAGGTATAAGCAAGTCCTGCAGGGACGGGCACACAGCACAGGCACCCAATGCACACAATCAGCAGAACTTCGGTGTCTCTTCAGGTTCAGCAAAATCCCAGACTTCGCCAGTGCTGGAATGACAACTTCAAATAGCACAGTCAGAAACATGACCTTTCTGAAATACTGATCAACAGCACTGATCTGATAAATGCCACAGCTGGAAACTGGTTCTATGAAAGTCTGGGTCAAATTACTACAGCACTTACATTAATGAAAATTAAAAACAATCTAAGTGACTACTAGTGAAACACTGTAAATTCAGTCCCAGAAGACACACGGTCTCCCAGTTCTATACCAGACAGATGCAGGATCTGGTGCAGAGGGGCTTGGCTCCAGGGGGAAAAGGATCTAAACTTCCAGTCATCCTATTTTTACATCCGAAGAAACTGGGGCCAGAAGTGCAATGTGCTCAAGGTCACGGAGAAACTTGTCGGCAAAGCCAGGTCCATCGAATCCCAACTTTATTTTGTTTCTATCTACAACTTTGGTGGGGTGCATCTCTGGGAAGAGCAGACACGACAGGCTATATTGGAGTTGCCAAGACCACCCTCAGGCTCCATGACTCACTAGGACTCCAACACTCAGGCAGTTCGTTACAATGAAAGGCCAGAGTAAAATCAGCAGAGCAGAGAAAGGCACTAGGAGAATTCCGGCGGAGACCCGTGCAGCGCCCAGAGGGACCCCCTCATGGAGCCACACAGGACGTCCTCACTCCTCCAGCTAGGAGTCTTGAGGACAGAGGCGAAGTACTGTCAACTAGGGAACTCCCCAGTCTACAACCCAGGGTTTCTCTTGGGGAGGCAGGCATGGACGCTCCAGAGACCCAGAGGGAAAGCAGGTGTTTGCCATAAATCGTACTGTTGGGATCAACTATATAGGCCAACAGGTACCACACAGCTCAGGGCCCTCAGTGGGCCAAACACCCTTCTCTGTCAGAATATCCCAGGAGGCAGCCGGCCATGAAAATCCTTCCTGGGAAGGAGCAGGCTCAGAGCAACCCAACTCAGCAACTGCAGAGTCAGCCCTTCTCTGCACACAGGCGGATGGAAGCTGAGGGTAAACCTCTAAGTGTCCCTGCTGCATTACCAGCAGCAAACACCCTTACCCACCAAACTGGGACTGTCAGGGCAGGAGCAGTGATGGGACCAGAAGCACTGGTGTGCAGGGAACAGTCTGCTTATATGGTCTGATTTCTCTCATTTCTTCCATTTTTTTTTTTTTTTCGTATTTAGTTTTGAGAGAGAGAGAGAGAGAGAGGGAGAGAGAGAGGGGAACAGGCAGAGACAGAGTACAAGCAGGGGAGGGGCAGAGAGAGAGAGGGAGAGAGGAAGACACAGAATCCAAAGCAGGCTCCAGGCTCTGAGATGTCAGCTCAGAGCCCGATACAGGGCTCGAACTCACGGATTGTTGAGACCATGACCTGAGCCAAAGTCGGATGCTTAACTAACTGAGCCAGTCAGGTGCCCCTCTTCTTTATTTTTTTTTAAGTTTATTTATTTGAGAAAGAGAGAGAGAGAGAGAGAGAGAGAGAGAGAGAGAGAAAGACAGGGGGTGGGGAGAATCCCAAGTAGATGCCACAGTGTCAGCCCAGAGCCCGATGTGGGGCTCAAACTCACAAACTGTGGGATCATGACCTGAGCTGAAATCAAGAGTTGGTCATTCAACCAAGTGAGCCACCCAGGTGCCCCTCTCATTTCTTCTTAATATGGGATCCTCAAGAAAGCCAGAACTCTATTTTGATTAAAAAAAAAAAGAATATATGAATTATTATTTTTTTAAAGTGCAGCTAAAAAAGTCTCCACAAAATACCTACCTAGGATATGTTAAGACAAACCTGCAGAACTACAAAAAAGAGGCTTGAGCAAAATAAAATTCCCAGAATTCCAAGAAATAATGTAAAAATTAGGGAAAAAAAGGTACTAAACTCAAGATAGTTTATGAGATGTTATTTCAAAACGAAGGCAAGAGAACAGTCTTCTTCTGTCTTTCTTCATACCTGTTAACCACAAACCTTCCTGAGAGCAGCCAATTTTAGAAACTTTCCTATGGAAACAAGTCTTATAAAGGAGTCAGTGTATGGGACCCACAAGTACTTCTTCAGGATGGTTTCAACTGGATATTAGCAGAGAGCACACAGGCACGGATTTAATTAAAGTGAGAAATCATACAAGCAGAGAGCACACAGGCACAGATTTAATTAAAGTGAGAAATCATATCTTCAGTTTTCTAACCAGTAATAGACCAAGTAAACCAACTTCCTGAAATAGCCTAATATTCCAGTTCTAATATGAAAACAGAACCCCAATACTGGGAGAGCAATCAGAAGTCAAATTTCAACCGCATCAGCTCCAGGAAGTCGGGGGGCGGTCGGGGGGAACAGGACGGACACAGGCCCGTCCAGTGAGCAGTGCCTGGGCACACAGAGCAGCTGCACAGAGGAGCCCAGTCTGGCCTTCCTTCGAGAAGTGGACAGTCTAGTGGCCAGAGACAGCTACGACAATGATCGTGTAGAATACAGAGAATGGAGAGCAGGGAGCGTCCAAGAAAAAGCGGCGATGCTGAGGGGGCTCAAAGGCAGGAGACGGCACACCCCTCCAGGCAGACAGGAATCTGAAACACAGGATGCACACAGCTTCCCCTCATGCTGACGAAGGGCAGGTGCTCTAGGCAGGAGTACAGGACCCACGGCAAGCGGTGGACACTCTCCTGGAGACAAATGGGAAGATACCAGGGCTCACGGTGCTGTGACACCTAGGTGTGAAGTACACCCACAGCACACCATGAGCACGGGCACCGAGGGGTGCCAGCAACACACATCTGGGTTTAAATCCTGTGCTACAACTCAAAAGCCACAACGGGTAACTCCGCAAGCGATATGATACCACCTACTCTGTGAATGTGCATCATACATAACCTGCCTTACTGCAGAAAGAACTTATATGTACGCAGATATCCACAGTAGAGCAGAATGAAGTAAATTTTAATCATACTGGATGGGAGGAGAAAGTAGGAGGATAAGAAAGGGTTCTAAGACTAGATCAGTAAAATCCCCCTCTTAAAATTCTACATTGATGCTACTGACCAGCCACCAATTTAAACTTTTTCACAGCTAATTTGAAGAGGCAGATCTAACTGGTTAAAAGATTCAGGGTTAATAAAATGCAAACAAAACAAGACAGAACAGCCACCAAAGGTGCTTGGAACACCAGAGCCACTGTCCCCGCTAGGCAGAAGGGAGCCGGCCATTTGCCTGGCAGTCACCCCACAGAGGGCACGCCTCTGTCAAGGTGAACAGGGAGGCCAGTTTTTACATGTCTTGAACAAGAGCTGAGGCAATCCCACAGGGCAACTCAATAAAAGGGCCTCCAGAGGGCCACCGAGACAGTCCCGACAGATACTAGGTTAGAGCATGTATTGATTTCAAAGGGTCTCAGCAATGGTGAACCTAACATCCTCTAGACAACTGTGAAAACTCATTCTCTTTTAAACAGCCTCCTGGTAGATATTTAGTAGGAGCTGAGTTCAAGATTATGCTCTAACAGAGTAAAGACCCATATTCTTTAACAACCAGCTGAACTAGAACTAGGAGCATTACTGACACCCTCTAGTGAAAATACAGAAGCCTAACCCTATAGGTCAGACTAGGTCCCACCACCATGCCCCGGGGGCTCAAACAACAATGCTCATGTGAAATCAGGTTTGTTAAATGCTGGCACAGTGCCTATAAACAGTGGCTGCCCCTCATGTGGCACCTGAGCTGGCTGCCTGGCCTGGCTGGTGACAATACCCCTCCTCCACTCAGCCAACAACACAGTCCCCCTGCTATGTGTCAGGCACTGCACCAAGTACTCTGCGTGCACTTCCTCTACCGACCCTCCCAGGAGGGTCAAGTCCTTGCCCAAAGTCGTATTCCTAGAACCGAGAGAGCCAGGATCTGAACTCAGACAGGAGCCCCCAGGTGGACACTGTCATGATAATGAGGTCAGAGTGTGACCATCATTCTTGAGGGGCAGGTTTCACAGAGATCCCAAACCTGGGCAGCACCCTCAAAACTTCAAGCAAATGGACAAAGAGAGTTGGTCCTCACTTACTGGAAAAGAACTCAGAAGGAATGCCTCTGAAGCATGACCTCTGAGGGTGCTTTCACTGGAGTGGCCACCCTCTGGAACCTCTGACCACATTTAACAGAATGTGAAGACATACGTTTTGGTGAACACTTAGAAAGCTTTAAGCCAGATTTGCCAGGTCATAGCCTGCTGGATTGCAGCTGTTTCTGACATGTTCTAGTAACCTTACCTTCTACTCCTCCAAGTGTAACCAAGTACTGGAGACACAAAAATTGAAAAGAGATTAGTAATGATAAGCGAGGAATCAAGAAGGCACAATTGTCAAATGAGAGTAACGAATTTTTTTTTTTTTATGTCCATTTTTATTTTTGAGAGAGAGAGAAAGAAAGAGCAGGGGAGGGACAGAGAGAGAGGAAGACACAGAATCTGAAGCAAGCTCCAGGCTCCCAGCTGTCAGCACAGACCCCAACATGAGGCTCAAACCCATGAAACGTGAGATCATGACCTGAGCCAAAGTGGGACACTCAACTGACTGAGCCACCCGGGCGCCCCATAAAGAAATTTCTTAATTTTGTAAACACAACTATATAGTATTTTAAGAGACAAAACAGATGAACATAAGGGAAGGGAAACAAAAATAATATCAAAACAGAGAGGGGGACAAAACAGAAGAGACTCATAAATATGGAGAACAAACTGAGGGTTACTAGAGGGGTTGTGGGGGGGGGATGGGCTAAATGGGTAAGGGGCACTAAGGAATCTCCTCCTGAAATCACTGTTGCACTATATGCTATTTTGGATGTAAATTAAAAAAAAATTAAAAATAAAATTTAAGAAAAATTTCGTAAACTCAACAACATAAATACGTGTGAAGTTATACACCAATATCTGTGGCCCACATACGTTAAATACTGGGGGAAAAAAGTCAGTGGTATGTACCGTTCTTTAAACGTATTAATCTGTAAATACAAACCCTGCACTTCATGTAAATCACGAGGCAATAAACCACACTAAGTGCCTGGTATGTGCCCACAATGAGGGCACGTATTCTCCTTTAGCCCGATATCCAGCACTGTGAGGTGGTGGCGGCATCCTTACTTTTTCTAGAACATCAAACTGGTTCCTACTAATAAAAATGAATCTTGGGGCACCTGGGTGGCTCAGTTGGTTAAGCACAGACTTGATTTCAGCTAGGTCATGATCTCACAGTTCGTGGGTTCGAGCCCCTAATTGGGCTCTATGCTGACAGTGTGGCGCCTACTTGGGATTCTGTCTCTCTGACTCTCCCCCACTCTCTCACACGCATGGACGTGTGCTCTCTCTCCCTCAAAATAAACTTAAAAAAAAAAAAAAGAGTCTTCCAACATCTTAGAATCGATCCCTTTCTACCTTAAATGGCACACCTCTGGAAAGACAAGCTACAAATCTAAGAATCAGAAAAGTCAGTGGCATCTGAGGGATTTTTTAAAAGGCAAAAGAGCCAGGTAGTTAATAAAAGGTCTCAAACAGTACTTCTGTGGATTAATCAGGCTGAAACTGGCAAGAAGAGAACTCCATGGAGAGCCCCCGACACACTGCCATGTAACAGCTATGGTCCTTTATCCCTGTCTGAATGCCTAGTATTCTCCCACTGATAAGACCACCTTCCCACAATCCACCTGCCAGAGCCACATCCCCAACATCCCAGTCACTTCCCCATGGTGCCAAGGGCACCTCTCCCAAGAGGTCACAGAGATACAGTCACGAAAGGAATCAGTGATCTTCAATGTACCTGAAGCATATTAGCCCTACAAAGCTAAACTTCCTATCCTTCCCTAAAACCTACGCCCTAACCTCCACTTCTCAAGTGCTTCCCTGCGCCTGTCCATGCAGGGGCTGGAACAGCTCGGCAAGGCCCTTGGCGCAGGATACCCACTGGCAAAATAAATCAGAAGCACCTCCACCACATGCCAGTAACAGTAATTAGGCCTTCATAACTCCTCTGTACTTGGGAAAAGAAGTTATTTACTACAGGTGGGTCAGGCTCAAAGTTCAGCAGAAGTCCTGACGACTAGGTCCCACTCACCGTTGGAGAGTGCTTGCTGAAGCTCGTTGTCCGATATCACCCCGCTCCTGTCTTTATCAACCCTACAAAATCAAGACCAGTTAAGCTGGTGAATAAAAGAGCAGGACAAGCAAAACATGTCAAGCATAAACACTTCATTCCTCTGCCGAGCCTACGTCAACTCTGGAGGCAGCTAGGACTCTCACTCTCGCATCCGCATGGGAACAAGGTTCTCCCAAAGAGATGGCTCCTTTTGCCTTGTCAAGCCTTTCTCCTTTTCTTTCCCTTGGACAGTCTGAATTCTCTCCTTTTCATAAACAGCAAAAAGACTGCCTCAGACACGTCCTTCCGTGACCATTGGTCACTCATTCACTCTGAAGGGCAACCCGGGGACAGAATATGCTGCAGTGCCGGTCTCCAGCTTCTTTCCCAGCTGCTGGACTGTAACAGCGCTGGAGCAGTCTGTGTTTCTGTTTACCTTAAACAAGCATCCCGAAGACCCTCCCGGAGCAGCAATCCCCTGGGCTGTAGGCTCAGGGGTGGGGGCCGCGATCCCCTGGACACCTGCAGCGGGCTCCGCACCTCGACAGGGTCCTGGGGGAAGGGGGGGTTTCCGGCACGAGGTCGGGGCCAGACCTAAGGGAGCCAGGAAGGAGGAGGCCAGAGGCCGAAGGGAAGCAGGAAGGAGGCCAAGGAGGAGGCCGGAGGGAGCCAGGAAGGGAGTCAGGGTGACGGGAGACCAAAGGGAAGCAGGAGGGAGGCCGAGGGGAAGACCAGAGGGAGCCAGTAAAGAGGCTGGGGAGAGGCGTGGGGGGGG